ATGGAGTCGGCACCCTCAGCGGGCCTCTCGGCGACAGGGTTAACGCTCATGGTCGGTGATGCAGAGAGCGGTGGACGCTGGGTTGTCGCTGTTGAACAGGAGGAGGTGAAGGGAGTGGACGTGAGAAGGGCGTCGGGGGTTGCAGCGGCGGAGGTGGCGGCGGGGGCGTTTTGGTGCGTGTATGCCCTGGGGTGCGGACGTTGTCGGGGGCCGGCGTGGGCGTGGGCGTGGGCGCGGGTGGCCTTGGTGCGAGTGTTGGGAGGCGAGGACGAGGTGGAGACTTGGTATGTTCTTAAAGCACTCGGGTTGTCGAATGCACGCAGTGTGTCCAGAGTGTCTGTCTTGTCCAGTCCGAAGATGGTGCTTGCTTCTGTTGTCCGTGTCCTTGGAGGTCCGCTGGTGGTCACTGTTGACCGCTACGCACTGCGGTGGCCGGGTCGCTCGCTGTCTCGTGTCGTCAGAGTGAACAACGTACAACAGCAAACACAGCAACAACAACAAACACGCAGGAGAGACAGTGTCTCTGACCGGCTGGCCGGCTGCCTCGCAGACCCTCGTGACCCACCATTTTTACACGCCCAGTTCCACCCACACTGTTCCCCACGGCCCCGTGGCATGTGCATGTGGCAGCCAGCCCCTCGACAGGATCGGATCGGATGGATCCCCTCGGCTGGGCGGGCTGGGCGGGCTGGGCCTTTGTCTGCTTGTCGGGTGAGACAGTGAGCAACAGTGCAAAGTGGTGATAAGGGTGCACAGATGTTCCATGGGGTCACATCCCAGAGTTGCCCGTTCTGGCGCCACTGAGGCAAGCGCGCGCGCTGCGGCGGTGCACAGGCTCTGGGCTGCCTGCCAGGCTGGACGAGCGCCACCACCACCAGGCCAGGTCATTCGGGGGTTGTTCCACCCAGGTCCAGTACGATTCCAGCAGGCGCTCCGAATGACAGTGGCAGCACCCTCTCACAGAGGTTCTGCTTATTGCCGCGTTGCTACATTGTCACAGCATATGCACAGCACAGAGCCGCCGTCGTGCGCGTTGCGAGGTTCCGACCGAGGGATCAAACGCATCGTCCATCGGCGATTCAGAGCTGATCCAGTCTGACGCGGGCAATTGACCGAGACCCCCAGCGTACCATCCGCCAGTCCCTCGTTTCGCCTGTAGGCTGCCACCCGGGTGCGCGGGTTACCCAGGGGTCCACCCACCATCGTGCGGGGGGTTGGTTACAGAGTGGCATCACTCCTTATGGTACAGACAACTGCCAGCTCCGACATGCACGAGCCCACGCTCCATCAGATATCTCGCTTGCCCTCCTCCCACACCTCCTTGACGCGCGGGAAGCGCAGCGACATGACGCCGTCGCGCTTCTCGCTTGGCGACTCTTCAAAGTACTCGACCGTGATCTGCCGCCCGACAATGAGCGAGGGGTCGCGCGCGTATCGCAGCCGCTGGTCGGGCGTAAACCCTGAGCCGACGGATACGCGGTGGCCCTTGTGCTCGATCCACACGTTGGCGCATGCTTCGTACTCGCCGTACACCCCGTCAACTGGAAGGCGCTGCACAGACGTGTCGAGAGAGAGCACAGTGTATTCTGCGTCTTGCCAGTTTTTAAACTTGAACACGTCCTTGCTGTCAATGTCAGTTCAAGTGGTATCGGTATCTTGTTATCAACTCACCTCCGCTTGCCCTTGTAAGGCGCGTCCAGGCGGAACACGAGCCCCTCCCAGCCACTCTCCACTGCGCGCTCCACCATGTCATCCACAACCTCCTGGCCCGTCACGCGCGTCTGCTCGACAGCGCGCACAGACGGCGTCCCGCAGTGCTCGACGAGCGAGTTGAGCCGCGCGTTGCGCTCCATGAATGTGCTGGCCAGCCCCGGTTTAGCTTGCACGCCCGCAAACTCGTGCCACGGCAGCACGTCGAGCAAAAAGTATGCCGGGTTCGCGATCGGCGTGTCCTTGCGCTTGACCTGTGAGACGGTCGCGTGAAAGTCCTCCTCAAAGTCTGCCCCGTGCTTGACGAGCACGCACGCCTCTCCATCCAGCACCAGCCGCTTGACGACGCCAACCCCGCTCTGTGCGATCGCCAGCGGATCTGCGTCCAGCCACGCGCGCAGGCCCGGCAGGCTCGCAACCTTGTCCAACGGCGCGCGCAGGTTGTCCAGCGACGTGAAGTGGTTGCCCGAGCGCGAGAGAAACTGCATGTCGACAATGCGCAGGGGCCGCGCCGTGCTCTTCGGGACAAGGACGTCCACAAATGTGATGCACCGCACGCCGTCAAGCTTGCGCGACGCGTACCACGTGTTGATACCACCGCCCCTTGGTGTCTTGAAGAGCTCGGCAAAAGGCGCCGTGATGGTAGTCCCGAGCGCGACCTTGAAGCTCTTGAGGTTGATGGGTGCATGTGTGGATGCGGGTGCCGCTGCTTCTTCCTCGACGTGCTGGTTGTCCTCCTCCTCCTCGACAGCCTCTTCGCGCAGCTGCCTCGTAACCTTGACAGGCGCCTCCTTCTTGACCGTGGCTGGTGCTCCCTCCCCTACAACATCAGGCCACACCGTTGTGAGCGTATTCGCCCCCCACCCAGCATTAAGCGAGCGCCCCACAAGGCGCACAAACGTCGCATATGGCGTCTCCCGCCCGTCCCGCACAGCAGCAGCCGCCGCCGCTGCCTCTCGCTCTGCCTCGGGCCCGCACCAGATCTTGTTGGTGACGAGGTAGTCTGTGATCGCGTACCGCAGCGTATGCCCGCTCAAGCCCGGCAGCGACCGGAAGAGGTCGATCAGAGTGCGTGGGCTGGTGTACCCCTCTGCATGCTGGACAACGTCTGCGCTCGAGAGGAACGACTGGAGGTTGCGGGGGCTGACGCCCAGACGAATGTGCGGCTGGTACACGCTGTGGGTAAAGTCAGCTCTCGCCCCCTCCCCCCCTTGTGCTCGCTCTGTTCGCTCTTTTCGCTCTGTTTGCTCCCCCTCGCCCCCCTCCAGAAACCCAAACTCACAAGCTGATGAGCTCCCGCAGGTCCTCATACTCGCGTATAATCTCCACCTTGCGCTGCCGCGAGTTCTCAGCAGCAGTGCGCCGCCGCAGCTCGTCCACGCACGCGAGCACCGCGAGAGGGTCTTCCGGTGCGGGCGCGGGCGGAGGCGAGGGCGGGGGGGCTTTGTTCCCCGTTGCCTTTGGTGGCGTCCTTGTCGTCGTCGTCGTCACACTCGGCGTTGGTGGCTTTGCCTTGGCGTTTCGCTCTGCCTTGGACTCGTCCTTGCTCGTCGTCGTGGTACCGGAGCGAGCGGCAAAGAGCGGTCCACCGCCCTCCTCGGCCGTTAGGCGCCGTGCAGTCGTCGACCATGCGCGCGCGGCCGCCCGCGAGGCAACTAACAAGCCAGCGGGGCGCGCGACACTGCGTGCGGCGACGCGGAACATTGTACTCGCTGGATGATGCAGAGATGAGTGTTAGTGCAGTGCAGACGAGAGTGGAACACTGTGTTCGACCATTTCCAGTCCACGAAAACAATCCAATGACATCAACGACCTCCACCTCCACCCTTCCACAAATGCAACCTCGCATACGACTCGCACTACTACCTCCGCTTTGCGCGCGTGCTGCGCCGCTGCGAGTCCTCCTCGACGCTCCTGCTGCGCTTGCGCCGCCGGCGCTCATCGTCCTC